TCTGGGTCGTTTCCCCATCCCGATGCCGATTGAGCACCTCGCAGGTGCTAAATCGGCAAATGCACCAGAAAGCCCCAGGATCCACTCAAAAAACACGCCTCAAAAGCCCTAAACCCAAAACCCTAAACTCCAAACCCTAAACCCTAAACCCTAAACCCTAGGCAAAAAAAAACAAAAAAAACCCTAGTCAAGCCCCAAGCTTGTGCTCAGGATCCCCTGGCAGAAGGCTGAGGCCCACAGGCGGAAGAAGGTGGGGGGCTGTTTAAGATCCGGAAGTGGCTCCGTTTCGGGTTTAGGGTTTAGGGTTTAGGGGTATTCCCCCTTTTTTAAAAAATTATCTTTTGGTTAAGTTCCTTTTTACTTCACTGGGCTCGCGGGCATGGCGTTTTTGCTGGTGAATTTCCTCACTTCGAGGGATTTCGAGGGGAGGTACAGGGAGGCACTTATTTGGGGTAGAGCTTAGTTTGTTGGAGTTCGGCATGTCGTATATTGAAGCTTAATTGCAAGTAAAGTTTCAGATGGACGTGTTTTCGAGTTTGCACGTATGTGCCCCTAAGCCCTAAACCCTAAACCCTGTGTAGGAGTGGAGCTCCAACTCCGTCATGGCAGCCATGGTTCTTGCCCCTCTGGCTTCGATTTCTGGGGTGCGGGCTTGCTGGAGAGTTCCCAGAGTCTTCGGGTCAATCTCCTAGCCAATGGCCTGTTGGGTGAAGTTGGTATGTGAAAGGTAGCAGAGCACGTTGCTTTGACTCTTGTTCCGGTGGTTGTTTTCTAAGTTGTTTGCTGCAGGGTTGAGGTCTCCGTCAGTATCAACAACAAGCCCGACAAGCAACAACCCTACTCGTAGCTGTTAGTTAACATGAGAAAGAATACTTATAGTCATCATACAGGGGATGGTGTTTGGGCTTCTCAAAGACACCCCCGAAATGATTTGATGTTTCATGGTCCCATGCTGCCAAGGCATAAGAAGTTGGTTGTCCCCGAACCATGAACCTAAACCCTGTACCCTAACCCCTACACCCTACACTCTAAACCTTAAAACTCTACCCCCTAGACCCTAAACCCTAAACCCTAAACCCTTCAGGGTGTAAAAAGAAAAGCAAGCAACAGGGGTCCAGACTGAGGCGATCCCAGCCGCCTGCTTGATCTACGGAATCATTGCCCGGATCCCAGCGGTCTGCGTTGCATTCCATGAGCCGAAGAGCAAAGAGATGGGGGTTTGCGATATTGGGGGTACCTTGTGTGGGTCCTTATGAGGGAAACCTACTATTTGAGTACCTTCTTTGGGTCCTCATTAATAAGGGAATCCTACTATTTCGGGACTAAATTAAGGGGTACCTCATTTGCGTAGACCCCCAGATCCTGAAGCAGAGGTCTTGATGCTCACAAGCCAGCCCGAGACGGCTTGCCTTCGATGGGTGGGTGGCCAGGGCTGCGAAAATCACAGCTTCTTGGCGGTCAGGCCTTTTCCGATGTCTGTCTTGTGAACCTTCTTGTCCCCCCTTTCCAAAAAGAAGAGCAGGAAAACGGAAAGTGTGCTTGAAATAATGACTCGTACCTCGGAACAACCTCCTAAGCACACCTTGTGCATCAAGAGCCAGCTGCAGCCCGTCGATGGACATGGAACGCCATGGACAATGGGGTTCAATGGGGGTTGCGCAACCGTGGGTCTGTGCCAACATGCTGCCTCCTCCCCTCACTCCTCCGCATACCTAGAATGCGAGTGGAGGCGTTTATACTTGCTGTTGTAATTGTGAGGTCTGTGTATTTCGGGGTGGGGGTCAGGAGGCCCCAGCCTCTTCACCCCAAAAAAGGACTTAAGGGTTTGAAAAACTCGAGGGGCCTCCGCAAGCCCTGGACCCTAAACCCTAAACCCTAAACCCTAAACCCTAAACCCTAAACCCTAAACCCTAAACCCTAAACCCCTCAGCCGAGGCTGAGTGCATCTTTCGGAGGTGAGTTCCTGAGTTCCCTGAGTTCCGATGCGATGTTTCAATTCCTTGAGCCCCCAGAACTGCTCAGAGGTCCGATTTGGGTTTAGGGTTTAGGGCTTGGGGTTTAGGGTTTAGGGTTTAGGGTTTAGGGTTTAAGGTTTAGGGCTTCAAGGGCTTCAGGGTTTTGGGCTTTTGGGCCTTCTCAGATTTGGATCCGCCTTTGTAGGGCATGGCAAAGTTTGGATGGATGAGATCCTAAACGCCTGACCTAGACTTCGGATGTCCAATAAGGGCCCAGCGTCCAGATTCCGGGGCTCTGCGAAACATTCGGAGGCCTTAGGCTTTGAACCCTCGGCTACTAGTTGCTTCAGACCTCCCGCCCCAAAAACATTATGTATATTCTCATGAAGAGCAATATAGGGGCTACTCTTGTTTTTTTTATTATTTATTATTTTTTTTTTGGGGGGGGGGTTGCTTAAGCAAATGGTGGTAGGCTTCACGGCGCAGGGGCTTTGGATCAGCACATGGAGGTCCAGGTCTTGTCTTGCCTACTCCCACGAGCCCGGTCGGGATTCAGGGTGTAGGTTTGAGAAGAGGGTAGGCGAGAATGCACATATCCGGTTCCCCTACTGCGGTTCGATAAGCCGGATAGAAGGACTGGAGCGCTGACTCTCTGATGGCCTCATGCTTCGAACGGGTAGAAAGCTTCAGGGATGTAGGATCCTGCAGACGACTCGCCTGGGACCCAGCAAACGGAGGCCAAGGCGAATTCACCCATGAGCTCGGTGCGACAAACCACCGAACCAGACGGGGTAGTGCATGTCGCAAGGATTCGGCTGGAAATCCTGGCAAGAGTCGGGTGCTCGTGGCTTTTGACTGTGAGGTCGACGTGACACCAGTATCCAAAGTACCCGGCATCACGGATTTCCACAGTTTCTTTCCTCAAGGCTCGCACGAGCATAGCGCGCGGGTTGCGCGGAGCCCTGTTCATCTTAAGACTAGCAGGTTTTGGGGAGTTGTACAATCCTATCCGGTACGTACTTCAGTTTTACGACATCGTCCCGAGGCTGGCACCACACTTGTTCCAACTTGGCTCAGTCGAGCAGGCTGGCTGGATGGGACAGCTGCTAAGGTTGCTCCAGCAAATATGAATGCAACGTCATTGCCGAAGCACTGCACAGGGCTTGAGCAAGACTGACCTGCACAAACACCCTAAACCCCAAACCCTAAACCCCAAACCCCAAACCCTAAACCCTAAACCCTACATGCATCTTATGGGCATCCGCGGCCTGCGGTGAGATACTAGCATGCCGGAAGGCTGTCACAAGGACGCTTCCTTGGGAGCATGGCAGTAAATCTTTTTCGGCACACGGACACAAGAGTCTGACCGGGGCCTCAAGTTCTGCGGCCGGATTGCGCAAGAGCCGCATCAATCATTTGCCCAGTTGCCCAGTCTGAGTTGCAGATGTTATATCACTCGATGTCTCGTCTGAATGTGGGAGTCCGATGTGATGTGCCAGCCCCAATCGGTGCTTTTGCTTTGGAGTGGTTTGGGCTCTCGGGTGGCGGCTTAAGTGCTTTGAGTGTTTTGGGGGTTTCCGAAATATGGGGGATTAGGTCCTTATTACAGGGGTCCCTTTTTTTCGTAAACCGCCATTTGAAGGCGCATTGAGATTTGAGGCTTCCACGTCTTTATTTCGCTGAACCTAGGATGCTATCTGACCCCACTTCATAAGTTCGTTCGATTTGAATGCTTCTCAATGCTCGGCTCGCGCGACGAAGATCCACACGAACCAGATTTGGAATGCTCAGCCCCATACACCAACACTCACGAGGGCGTGCATGGGCGGGTGTTTCGCTAACCCAGAACCAGAAACACCCTTGAGTTGCGCTTTGCAATACCCCAAGTCGCTTGAACTCTGCGGCCCTATGAATCCTATGAAGAATGCGGCGCTTCTTCATTGTCTTGAGTTTCACTTGCTGTCACATCTGCAACTCACCCTGAACGTTTTCTGTGACATCATCTTCCGGGCTAGCCAGGGAGGATGCAGCAGCAACTTTCCGCCACGGGTGGTCACCGGTGAAGGGATAAGGATGTTGAAGTCGTTGGGGAGGGAAAGTGATCAAGATTGTTTAGGCCTGCAAGGCTTCGGGAAAGTTCTGGCACTGTCGACCGGGGGAATGGTTCAGAGTGCTACTACTCGGCTTAGCTCATGCCTTCAGAAAGCTATTGAGCGTTCTAGGTTGGGATGTTTTAAACTACCAGAATAGGGATCCTGCATCTTTGTCCTTACTAAGGACTGTTAGAAAAAGGGCGAACATCCCAAGTTCCAGGGTTCGGGTGTTGAAGCAGCCTGCTGCAATCCTTTCAGCGTGGCCACCTTGGGCCTCGTCCCAGGATTATGGTAATTTGGGGGGCTTCCGATGATTTTGTCGAGCACGGGCTCTGAAGCCACAACCTTGCAAGAGGAAAGGGCCTGAACCGTCTGAATCTGGAGAACGATGCTTTTGTGATGACACTTACCGTCTGCCTGCCTTGTGGAAGGAGCACGGCTTGGAATACCTCGGAATGGCTCAGTTAGTTTTGGACACAGCTGCTGCATGGATCGCTTCCAGTGGTCGGCAATCAAAGACCCGCTTTTTGCGCTTAGGGCACAGGTCCGGGCCCACACGGGGCCCACAGGGTCAGTCAGGCTGTCTTGGTCGATGTAGCAGATTCAACAAGGCTTGGGCCAACTCAGACAGTCCTGAGTCTTTCACCAGATGGCAGATGTGTTTGGGGCAACTTCGACCCAAGGCTGACACCTCCCCCGAGCCTGAACCGCCTGGGATTCCGATTCTTCGCTGAGTGATCAGAGTGTGTAGGTCATGTCTGTGAAGTCTTCTCATGCCCTTGGAAGCCCAAAGAGTCTCCAGCAAACCGGAACCCTCCGTGAACGCGCTCGCCAACCACCCCACCCCTCCCACACCCCTCCCAAACCACCCCAAAACCCGACCCCAAACCCCCAGCCCCAAACCCCCCCCCCCCCCCTAAACCCCTCCCAAACCACCCCAAAACTCGTTGAGGTCTCGGCTGCAGCCCCGGCCTCCTCGTGACTTGGCCTTTGAGACTTCTGTATTTAGGTTTGTAAGGGACCCTGTATACAAATACATACTATGTTTATGCTGTGGGCCTCGCATGCAAGGTTGCATGACCCTCGGGCGGCAAAGCCGGGAAAGCGTTGTAAAGCCCTACTCGAATCCCCAAATCCGGACACCTGAATGAACATCACTTCACCAACTCAAAGTGAAGTTAGTCCTGAAATGCAATCCTGTAATATGGAAGTGTTCAAGGCTTCGGGGTTTTGGGGTCTAGCAGCTGCATGCAACTTTGAGTTCGATGTCTTGAAGCTGTCGCATCGGAGAGGCTGGGTGCCTGGAACCTAACAACCTCTTATGTCTCATATGGGTGGTTGCCAAAATTTATGATCCCTTTTGGGGGTGCCCTAGTATTAGGTGCAGTATTATACTAGGGATCCAAAAAGGGACCATAACTTTGACAACCACCCATATGTCTCATGCACCAGTGCTGTCAATCATTGACAAACAGGTGCCAGTACCCAAAACACTGCGTTCTGGCATAGACGGTCGGGGTGAAACTACACCCCATGCAATGCTTCCATTGCTGCTGCCTTCTTGGACATCCCAAACAAGTTTCTGTTTTGCCTGAGACATTGAATGTGGAAGCTGCTGCCCTAAAATGTTAAAGCTGTAGGACTACTCAAAACATGAACTGTTGAACTATGAATCCTCCAAGAACTCTTGCAACTCTATTGTGCGAGGAGCACAACTTAAGACTGCATCATGATGTTTCACGATGTTTCACGTACAAAATCTCAATCAGACCAGAGCACATCGGCGATATGTCGCTTTAGAGAGAGGATCTTCATGTCCCGAGTAAATAGGACCCCACCCGAAATAGTCAGAAGCAACGTGTCTCTGTGCACTCTGGGCACAGTTCAACTCCAGCATGTAGTGGGATGCCGAGGACACTGGCACGACCGAGGCAGACCAGGTCCTCTTCGATGCGGCGACTGAGGCCCGATTCCCTTGTTGAGAGGCTTGGGAACTAAACCCTAAACCCCTTTCGGGTTTGGGCAGGTTGTTCGGAGCACCATACCGCGGAGGTTACAAGCCCGGTGTCACTCCCGGTTGCGCGAGTCCCCCAGAAAATGCTTCAGATCTGGATTGTTATAGTAATCGAAATACTATTGCAAATGTAATACCATGGAGAGAATCAATGTTAAAGCCTATTGTGAAACATCACAATTCTGTTATCGTTCAGTCCGCCTATCGGAGCAAGCTTTCGGAACCTGGGATTCCTATGGTGGCATACAGTGGCACTAAAGTCTCAGCCCATCAAGACGCAGGCGAACACTCCCAGCGATGACACGAGGGATGACGACCTGCAGGAGGCTTCGGGAGAGTAGGGCTGAGATTTGTCCATGCATCGTGTGCTTGCGGCCCCAATGGGCCTCGCTTCGCAGAAAGCCTGAAACCACTTATGTGACGAGGTGGACGCAACAGACGGACAGCTCGGGCCGGCACGAGGACCTTGCATCAGGCGACGTAACAAGCAGCCCCTGTCTTTGAAGCCTTGGGGAACAACACCCCATGTTACCTCTGAGACCTCTGAGACCCTACCAACCCTGAGTCCTGAGAGGCATTGTTTGTGGCAGCTTCTTGTTGCGGCTCAGCGCCAGGACTCGCGCTTCCAGTCCTGGGCTCCACCCGCTTGCCTTTCAACGTGCGCAGCTCAAATAGTTTGGGGGGTGTATGGTTTAGGGTTGAGGGGTGGTTCTGTGTCTGGCCTTGTTCGGAGAACAGGTGCCACACATCCAGGCGAGCAAAAGGGTTGAAGGGTCCACGCCCAGCCGACTCCTCCAGACCGGATGCAAGAGGGCTCTGGATTTTCAGGAGTGCAGGTGTAGGTATTTTAGGGCGCAGGGCTTCCGATTTTGTGGATTCATGCAGTGATTGCTTGTGATAATCTTGGGGATGGTCGTATCGGGAGCTGCAAACCATCCCTGGACCAGGAAACTGAAATCCCTTTGCCAGCTACCCGATGCACCTGATGTGTGGATGATGTGGGTCACAGCTTTTTGTCTTCGGAGCGATCTTTGGCGTGGACTAGCGTTCTATTCCCCACCTGGCCTGTTCTGGTCGAAAGCAACTCATGTCAAGTGTTGCATATGTTAACAGACACCAACAATACCAATGCGTCCAAGTTGATGTTTTTCGGTTAGGTGTCTTGTGAGCGTTTGTGTTGCTGATCGGGCATCGCATGAACGTGGGCCAAATGGGCCAAGTAAACCTCACGACTCCACGAAGCCACAGGCCCTGGCAGCTGCAAAGTACTGCTGTCAGATGGCCAGCCTCAAGCTCAGCACCAGAAGCAAGCATGCGCGGTCACCAACTCCCAGCCCCCCTGGGAATTGGGAATTGAAACTCTTGAAGTTCATGATTGTTTTCGGATGTAAGGCTCAGGGATCGGTCCAGGCTTATTGCTGAGAAGAGTGGAACAAAGGGACCAAAGAAGGGGTGCAGGGTCGCCGGGTCACTCTCAAGTAGAAGCCTAAGTCCTGGCAATCTCCTGGCACCCGCTAACGCCAAATCTCCACCAGCGGAGCCTCATGAGTCACACTCAGCACAGCCCTGGGTCCTCCCTAAACCCTAAACCCTAAACCCCAAACCCTAAACCCTAAACCCTAAACCCTAAACCCTAAACCCTAAACCCTAAATCCCCTTCTATGTAGGCCGCGGTGGCCTCGAGTCGACCAGCGTCCCGCCGCAGCTGCGTCGGCTGATGTGGCCCGTCGTGGGAAGCCGTGGGAATCCGGTTTAGGGTTTAGGGTTTAGGGTTTAGGGTTTAGGGTTTAGGGTTTATGGAGTCTGTGAAAATCAGAGCTTGGGTTTTGCTTTTGGTTCAGGCTTCTTTTTTTACTAGCAAGAGCTCAGGAAACCTTTGGGTGTGCAGAAAGGGCTGGGTTGAGGCATTTTATGAGATTTTTTGCTTTTTGAGTTGGGGATCCTCGTGCTCATCTACTGTCAGCCTTTCAAGGAAGAAAAAAGCCCATGCAGGCAAAACTGCGGTCGGGAGGCGAGAAATCATAGACTCGCGGGCCTGATTTCTGTCATTCCTCCCATCTTCACAGATGCTCAGGTTTGTGGGGTCTTTTTTTTTTTTTTTTTGGGGGGGGGGGGGGGGGGCACAAATCGTAACATGATGTGTCTATCTGAGCTCGGTTTGAGCCTGCTTTCTGTGAGTCGGAAGTCGATTTAGGGCAGTCGATGAACCTCGTGGTGCGTTTGGGGGCTTGGGCTAGTTATAGGAGTAGGGTCGACCGTCTCCCGCAAGGGTGTCGCCATGAAGTTCGACAAATGCAGCTGAGGTACCTTCGATGGCTGGGCGCGCACCCCTCAGCCTGGATCAGCCCAGAATCCCTTAAGATCAGCCACTAGAAGAGCTAGGAGTATGGGAAACTAGGCGGCGCGCAATGCAATGTGAGTTGTAGGGCACGCAGGTCAGAAGTGAAACTAGAACCTTTTGCGTCGCGTTCTTTTCCAAGGCAGACAGCAAGAAAGAAGAGAAACAGAGAGAGAGGGAGCGGGACCATGAGCCCTGGAAGAAGGAAGGAAGGAGGGAAGGAGGGAAGGAGGGATGAGCGAGAGAGAGGGAGAGAGAGCCCAGCAGAGAAGAAGAAGAAGAAAAAGAAGGAGAAGGAGAAGGAGAAGGAGAAGGAGAAGGAGAAGGAGAAGGAGAAGGAGAAGGAGAAGATCCAGAGCAGATGGAGAGCCTGGTGCCCTTTGCCACGCGCTTGAGCGCTGCACCCAGGTCCTTCGGGGGCAGACTCCCAGGGAATGGCTCGAAGAGTTGAGGCAGGTCGTTCGACCACGTAGGGGAGCTTGCAGAGTAATAACCCTACGAACCCGAAACCCGAATAACCCCTAAGCCCAAGTGTAAGCGCTTAAACACAACGCGTGAGAGCTTTTGCATTAGCATTCTTGCCAAGCTTTGCGTCGGCCGTCAGGAGTAACATCTCAAGCTGCGTGGTTGAGGACAGTGTTGGGCAAACTGAGACGAAGCTTCGGGAGCCCTCCTAACCCGCAAGCCCTTAAGGGGCTCCAGGAGCGCACTTCCCTTACCTAGCCCCCAACACCGACATCCACCGAATTCTCTGAGAGAAAACGGGGGGGCGCCCCCTTGAACTCGCCCTGCGACACCTATTCCTGAGTCGAAGCCTTGCTCCATCTTCAGGCCGCGCCGAGTTGGGGGCTCAGAAACCTCCGTTCGCGTAGTCCTGAGAAAGGTTCGGAGGAGGCGGATTCACGGAAAAGTGAGGCGTTGCAAGCCAGAACCGTCCTAGGCCTCATTCCCGAACAACCGAAGTCCCACCTTGATAGCAGTGGTCCGCGGGAGTAGGTGTGAGATGTCCACGGGTTCTCGGCTTCGGGGACGCTGTGAAGCAGTTAATGCAGTGCTGCGCACTTCTGGCAGGCATCCTAGCCTAAATCCCAAGCATGTTCAATGAAACACGGACAGAATCCTCATAGGCATCCCTTAAATTTAAACCTTCAAGCCCGTTGCGAGCGTGAGCAAGGCAGAGTTCTTCAGACTGGCACGACAGGCTTGGTTGATACTCATCTCTGAAGTAGGCCGAAACCTCCTCGACACGGGAGGTTCATGGCTTCAGGTGCTTTAGGGCCTTAAGGGCTCAAGAGTCATCTTATCGTCTCTTCGTGCTGCTTCAACTCTCCGGCTACAGGCTGCTATTCAAGCTTTCTTCTTGCCGAACTCAGGGTCCTGAGAGGTTTTTGTGGGAGCAGGCTATGTCGGACATATGTCGCCCCAGGTTTGGACTCTTCAGAAGGTCTCAATATTGAACACAGCAAAAGAAATGACACTCTTCACACTTTTTCCTGCATTTAGGCCCCTGGAGCCGAGTTCCCAAACGGCGATTCCAACAGTTTTGGCTCAAATGTTTAACGGCCCATGAGATCGCGGGCCCTTGAAATGCGGCCACTAGGCCGGGCGGGTGGGGAGAGCGGGACATCTCGAGACACAATCTGAATCTGTAGCTTTATGCTGGTTTGCTGCACTTCAGTGGATTCTAAGCACGCATTCCTTTTTTAGGCGACCCTCGGATTCTGCACGCCATGTGGGGTCCCCAGGCCACATAAGCCCTGAACCTACCCCCGAGCTGGGCTAGTCAGGTGAAACAGCTGGGCAGGTTCCTAAGCGAAAGGCAAGGGAGACATCATTGTTTTCCATACTCTTATGCCGCCCTGTATCAACTCAATTTAATGAATTGGGTCCCCATTGGGTTCGGCTGCTCTTGAGGTTTTTGCCTCATCGCGGCCTGGGCAGCAGTTGGACGGGCTGATGATGTGGTGACGCTGACGGGCGCGCCACGTGGCAGAAGAGGGATTGGGCGTCGAGCTTCGAATTCAGTGGCTTTAAGCCTTTCAGGTTCTACGGGGTTTGGAGTTTCGGAGTTCGGGAGCAAGGTCTTGGGCTTTGGAGCTAGTTTTTGGGTGGAAATTTCCATGCCGAGCCGAGGGATTTCGAGCTGCACTTGAAGGACACTGGCTGCAGCTGCTGCGTCGATCCTGCTGGTTTCATCTGTTTTCAATCTATTCCAACCAAGCATGACAGTCCTCTTGGGCATGACCCAACCCCAGACAGTCCTCTCTTGAGCCGGTGGAAAATCGGGCCTCTTGGACGTGTGGGTGCCAAGATTCGGGTTGTTCCGCCATTCATTTTCACAAGGGGCTTTTGTGTGTGCCGACGCAACCTTCGCAGGACAACAAGTACGTCCTCGCAGAATTCTATGCCCCCTGGTGCGGTCATTGCATCTTCACCGCAAGAAGGAAGCTCTGGCATGCACGCGGCCAGAAAACCCTAACAGACCCAAAGTCCTCCGAAGTCCTGAGCAGGTAAGAAGCTGGCGCCCGAATATGCCCCTTGTCCTGCAAAAGGAAAAACACGTCTTAAGGAAGTGTGCTTGGAGGTTTAGGGAGGTTGGGAGGGCTTGCAGAAGGCTTAAGGCCTGAAGTGGTTATCATTGGGACCCATTGTTTAGAGCGGGTTTGGTCTGATGCCTGGGGAGCTGTCCGAAAACTCCGCCCCATAGTCATCGAGGGCGCGGGTGTGCTTGGGTTGGGGAGTTTAGGGTTGCGAGTTTTCTGTGTGCAGGGCATCATGTGACTCATACCTTAAATATCATGTCAACCCTGAGCACCCTAGTGACCCTAACCCAATCTGGCCCCTGTGCCCCAGTAACCCTGATCAAAGAGATGCCAAGGTCAGTGTGAAATGGGGGTTTCCGAACTGAGGGGTACAGTTTTGGGGTCCTGATTATAAAGGGAATCTTACTATTGGGGACCTAAATTGGGGGTCCCTGATTTTCGTGAGCCCCCAAATAGTACCAATGGGCAGCTCCGCAGGAGAAGGCGGCACAAGCCTTGAAATACTCAGGAGAAGTGGGAGTTGGGGGCTCGCAGGGTTTAGGGTTTACGAGTTGGCACTCCCCACCAGCCCAGATGGAAAAAGGGTTTTCGAGTTTTGGGTCTAGGGTTTATAGGGAGAGAGGGTTTAGGGGGCTCGCAGGGTTTAGGTCTTAGATTCGGAGAGTTTGCACCCCTCGCAGTTGAAAGCATGAGGTTCGAACCCGCCCACCCGAAATCTATCACGGACATTTTTGCTGCGCCACGAATATCACATCCCCCATACTGTATCTGCACTGATGATGTATTATGACTCGGGCCGAGCTAGAATTTGAATGCCAGGGGAAGGTGAGTGTGGGAACCTACCTTCTTCCCATTCCCGTCCGCGCAAGGACCCTAAACCCTAAACCCTAAAACCTAAACCCTAAACCCTAAACCCTCAACCCTCAACCCTATAACCCTAAACCCTATAAGCCTATAACCCTATAACCCTATAACCCTGTAAACCCTAAACCCTTATGATTTCGGGGTTGTTCAGGGCATCGACGTCGAACAGTCCCGGAGTGTATGGACCCTCGGTCTTGAACCCTATAATTCATATGGGCTGGTGGTCTCTTTAAGCAGGGATGGTGTCTTATCGCTTCTTATTAGGGTATAGAGGCTATATTAAGGTATAAGGGTAGCAGATAAGAGGCCACTGGCCTTTGTAACCTGAATTCCTTCCAGTCCTGCAGGGCTGGTTGGTTATGTGTGCTATGGTTGACGCTGAAGGCTGAAGTTGGGCCAATCGAAGACATGGGTGAATCAATTGACCTTTCTGGTCTCGGGGTTCAATCGTGTGAGAAGTCGATTCCCTGCATGAGGCAACATGACATCAACAACAACTAAGGGCTCACCATGGGCTCCAGGCCCCTAAATTATGATAAATTATGGGGGTTTCCGAAATAGGGGTACCCTTGTCGGGGTCCTGATTAGAAGGGAATCCTACTATTTGGGGTCTATATAATATATGGGGTCCCTTGTTCAACCCCATGGCCCATATCCCAGACCGCACCGGCAATGGGCGCCTTACTTTCCAGGAGTCTCCCTGGCCAAAGTGGATGCCACGGAGGATTGCAGGGTTGCGGTGCCCGTGAAAAAGCATGCCTGGGACCCTCTTTAACTTTTTTTGAGATGTACCTACTAGTCAAGGGTAATGACTACTAAACTATACGTAAATAGACCCCTCCTTGCCCTTCCCTGAACTTCTTCAGACTTTGGTGTGTGCGAAGTATGTCAACATAATCTAACAAGCTGGGATGCAGCACTTGTCGTGGGAGGAACTCTCAAAAAACCAGAGCAGAGGCTAGACGTGACATCCTCGGCTTCAATTTCAGCAGGCCATTGAACCCTCTAGCCGGCCTTGGCATCGAAGAAGCCCAAGAATGATCGAAATCAGAGCTTTGCTTCTAGGCATCAGGGCTAGCGGCTAGACACAGGGACGCTTGGCGCTTGCAGACTACGAGGAGAAAGACCTGGCAAAGAAGTACGATGTGAAAGGGCTGCTTGGGAATGCAAATGAGAAGCCGACGTGAGCAGGGGCGCCTAAACATAGAGGTTTAGGGTTTAGGGTTTAGGGTTTAGGGTTTAGGGTTCTATGACTACCCCCACTGTGGATGCTCTCTTTGCCCATGGAAAGCAACCCTCCCCGTGTGCCGACAGAGGTTTCCAACCCTGATCTGGTTCGAAGAAGGGGTGCAGATGGAGTACACTGGTGGGCGTACCACACAGACCATCATCGATTGGGCCTCATCAATGCCTCTCGGCTGCAGTGGTGGTGCCCCTGCCAAGCCATATGAGTATGGGACGTGGTTACAGGCGAATTGTAATTTGGAAGATCCTGGGGTCCTCCAGCATAACGGATTTGGTCAGTCCGGGCAGGCCCTGGAATCAGCTGATCGTAGGTAATAGACGTGTCAGGAGTTTCCAACAAATATGGTTTCGCAGATCTTGAGAAGTTCACGGACCTGCGGCCTGCAGCGAGTATATGCCAAAGCTGTTGGACGTCTCCCGAAGCCCGAAAACTAGAAGTTCATGAAGCCTCATATGCAAGCACACTCACATCAGAGTGCCCCTGAACAGCAAAAGCGAGCCTGTCCCCAACTTCACACTTGTCGCCGAACAGCTTGCCCTAGCAGCCTACAACCACACAGAAACCCTGTTTATGGTTTTGGTTCAAGCATTCGGGCTTCATCTCTGTGCAACAGTGGTCTCGGAGCCATGTCAAGTCGCCTTCTTGTGTCGGCTGTGCTGGCCTGCGTGGCCTTCACTGCCACCCGGTTCGTCGCTTTCGTGACTGCCCCAGTCACGGCCACCCACAGCCCTCCGCTCCGCCACAGTGCGGTGGCGCTGGCAGCCAGAGGCGGCGGCGAGTATGACGTCAGCGATGCGGACATCCAGACTTTCTACCAATCGCTGCTGACGGGAACCGGCGGCGACCCGCCCAAGGGCACCGTGCTCTCCGAGCTGGTTGTGAAGTTCTTCCATGGTGAGTTCACGCCCCAGGGCTTCAAGCGCTACTCCGGCCTGTGGAAGGGCCCACCCCCCGGCAACATCGGGAAGAAGGACATTGCTGTGGGAGTGCAAGGCTTGGTCGCGCAGATGAAGAACCCGATGTTCGTCACCAAGGGAGGCGTCGGCTACGGTGTCGATGAGACTCAGAAGGTCGAGGATGATGGCAAGGGCTGGGTCTGGCTTGCTGCAGAAATGAGTCCGGGAGGTCTGGCTCTGGAGCTTTTCAAGTCCGTCCCATACGGCAAGCGTGCCCTCCTCGTGGCGCAGCAGAGCAACGTGGACGAGCTCTTCAGCAAGGTGAACTGGGACGTTGCCCTTGCAAACATCGAGAAGACCTTCGGAGGGCCACAGATCAAGCAGCGCTAAGCTGCCTTCTCCGTTTATTTAAGCAAAGGCGAAAGCAGAGCTCTATCTCTTTCGACGGGATCGGCCCATAGATGCGAGAGTTCTGCATGCTCGCCGTCAAGCGACGCAATGCACTTTTCAAAGCGCAATGCAAATTTCTCGACGGATATGCTAGGCGGTGTATGCAAAGATGGGGCCGGATTGTGGTTTGCGGGGGTTTTAGTTTGGGTGCTGAATGTGAATGAGAGGTGTTGTCATGATGCGCCATTCTGACCGTAGCCAG